ATCTTACTGACCTGTTGCCAATTAACCTAATTAGTAGTGAGATATTCAACCAGGTGTTTTGATTTAGCATCACACAACTTTTCCAGTGTTTTGTTGCCCCTATCCCAACTTTTTAAAAACATGTTACTGTCATCAAATTCAAATTGAGCATATATTTGTCATAAAACAGTTTCTCAATTTCAGCATTTGATATATTGTCTGATATATTTTCAGTTTAATATTATATGCTTTGCAAATCATTGCATTCCGTTTTTATTTACATTTTTACAGTGCCCCAACTTTTGGAAAAGGGGTTGTAATATTAAAGTAAAAATATAAGCAGTAGCGTAACAACCTGTTCTTAATTGTGTGTGTGTACAAAAACGTTTGAGGGGATTGATCTTGAGACCCAACAGACTGATTTCAGAGTAAACACTCAGATGACTCCTCTCCAGGAAATACGGTCTTACATTTCTTTAAAAGATAAAAGCCATAGATGTAGAGTGCTGCCACACAAACAGGCACAATCTAATGGAAAGCCCATGGCCGTTCACTCTGTGGTAAAGATTTTCTAATGACCATAATGTCAGAGGAGTGGTTACTTAACTTCAGAGGGCCAACATGGTTGATATATTCAGGTGATCATAGTCCTGCATTCTACAACCTTGTCTTCAGACTTGTATCTATCAAATACAACCATATGAAAAAGCTTTCAATCAGAGCGGACATTTAGTGGTAGAAACATTCACGGACGACGCACTGGAGTACAAGTTAACTTTGAACCTGGTATATAGCACCTTAATTCCCAGACTGATTTAGATGTTTTGTTTTCATGAATCAAACTTGTATAATACATCAGTATCTGGACTTAAACCACAAACAGTGATGGCAAGGTTGTGTTCCAAGCATCTTTATAAAAAAAAGTTTCATTAAGCACACATTATTTTGAAGTATTTCATTAATGGGTTAACTTGTATAGGGCACCTTGGGGAACAGAACAAACTTCTGAAACTAATGGAATGCTGAACTACTATACAAAGACTACAGATTTCTGCAAATGAGATTCTTGCAGAAAAATGCACCCTCTTCCCCTCTCTGCCTGTAAGTGATACTCCTTCTCCACTGTGGCTCCACAGAACTTGTGCTGTTAAACCACTTCTGTCTAAAACCTGCGAGCCATTATTAGGACTGTGGCCCCTTCCACTGGAGTGGGTGGTGGGAGGGTGGGGTTCTGGAGGCAGAGCAAACACAGCATTAGTCACTTCCCCATTCCAGCTCCTGAGCACCTCAGTCTTTCTTTGGCCGCTTTGCCTTGGCGATGTTCTCCTGACGCCTTTGCTTCTTCTTCTGTTCCCGGTCCCTGGCCTCGATCATCTTGGCGAGTTTCCACGACAACAGGGCACTGGCGATGAATAGAGGTGTGAGCGCCAGGACAACGGTGGTGAGGAAACCGTAGGGGTCTTTGGCGGCCCACTCCACCACGTACTGCGCCCATTCCTTCACGTCGATCATCCTCCTTGCAGCGTCCACCAATCAGGAACCTGAATGTAGCCATGGAAGATGTTCCCATTGGTTAGAGCACTTGAAATCTGACACTACCTCAGCAGACTAGCTTCATCCAAGCTTACTCAAAAAGATTTCTATCTTGCACAGTGTAACCTGTTTTTACAGCTGTATTTTCACAGGAGCAAAGAATAAACTACTTCAACTTCAAGAATGTGCAAGTAACAGTAGTCTGTGAAGGGCATGGACTTCCCCCATTTCCATCCCTAGTTAAAAACCAAACCACAGAACTGCACAGATTGTACAGTATGTTGGCAGCTACACAGATATTTGCACTTATTTGTCTGGTACACAGTAGGGCTGCACGATTCTGAAAAAATTGTGAATTGCGATTCTTTTGCTTAGAATTGAGATCACGATTCTCTGTAATGATTTTTTTTTTCTTAAATTTAAATTTATTGCTCTCATTAAACTGCAAAAGGAAAACAACAATACATGACTGAGCCAAACATATGATTGATCCAGGACCGGCATATCAACTTCTGACAACAGAAAGGAAATGCTCAACTGGCCAGTCAATTAGGGTAACCAAACAGCCGTACCAAAAGTTTCAGTATAAAGTGCCAATGGGGAACTTCTTTGGTACTTCAGTACTTCGGTGTGGAACTTTGAAACGCTTTTCTTTGTTGAACGGTTATGCAAATAGCCTGCCTCTGAAACGCAATACAACTGCAGTCTTGAAATCAGTTGCAAACTCAGAAAACAATGCCAATACCGGTTTTTACGCCAGTGCAACCCCAACACTTGGAAGTACAGTACTATACTTTTGGTACATTTGGAACTTCAAGAAAGTAAGGTATCTGGCGCGGTGAGAAAGTGCCCTTTAAAGAGAATGCAGAATTAGCTTGAGACTCTCTGGGGAAAAGTAGGAGAGCTTGATTTGATCCAGCTGATGTAATACAATGCGTCATCACGTTTTTTTTTTACTATTAATTGTGCAGCCCTAGTACATAGGGTCAGTGATATTAGTATTCTGTCATAGTAAGGCCAAAAAAGAGCTGCCTCATAGTTCTCAAAACCACTCTGTGACAGTGGTATATCAAGTAGCATATGCAAACCTCTGAAGGACATAAAGTACACTGACAAAAAAAATGTGACGTGAACACAAATCAAATTACATGAGTACAACTGGCATTTGAATAACTACACCAAGATAAGTTATCCAGGCAATAGGAACAGCCACAAGCCAATTGTGTACTGGAGAATGTGCATAGAGCTGCTCTGGTAATATTCTGATATTAAGTTAAAATCTCCGCCTTCAAGGTGAAAGTTCTACTTTTTTGTTCTCGAGAAGAAAGTGTAAAAGACATGGGGGGAACGAAAAGAGAGAGAAGCAGAGTGAGTGTGTGAGATGAACCGAAACTGTGGGCCCATCAAACACCTGGCAGAAATGATCCCATTGCACTCTCCCACTCCCGCCAGCCGCCAGCACGGGGTGTCTGCAGGTTGGAATGAAGGGGAGCGAGCCAGCTTTTGAAAGTGCTTTGCCTATGCCTCCCAGTGCATTCCATGCCCTGCGTCTTCTCATCATGGCTTTAAACAGCAAAAAGACATTATGCCTTTTGTCACCATGATGGCTTCCCTGTCCGAATGCTGTTTAATCACAGGAAGGCTACATACCTGTCTGGCGTTTCTAGTCAACAAAATAAGCAATGTAGACATCACTCCCTCCTTCCAATTAACACACTTAAGGAAAATGGCCAGACTGTCATATCTGAATATACACATATTTCAGCTAATCAACCATAAAATGCATTAAATTAGATTGATATATTACAGGAATTTGAATGAATAATTGTTTAATAAATATTTAATACAATTATCATGACAACAATTTGTTACAGTCAGACTGTATTTCAAGAAGTTTCCACATTAATGCTAAAAAATAGAGAGATTTTTTCCCCCTCCCCATTCTCCCAGAACCACACCAAGGGAATGACTCAGGCATTTATTTCACAGTGCATACAAGGTTTGGCTGCCAATTAGGCTTAGGTTCCTAATCTGCCCTTTTGAGAAACAAATCTCACTCATGTGGATGTCTAAGAAAACACCAAAAAAAAAAGGCTGCAGAGTGTGAGAGACCTCTCTTTGTTGTTACTAAGCAAAGAACACAGGGATTTCATAGCAGATAAAACTAGAGTTCAAGACAGTTTTTCAACATTTCATCTGTATCGTTATATTCGGAAGATGTGGTTTGTTATGCATGGCACGTTTTACATCCGTTCCCGGAAAAAGATGGAATTCATTCTCTGTCGATGTGTTCTGCTTTTGAATCAACACGATGTGTAACGCGTGTTGTAAAACTGCTATTCTTATTTAACTCCTAGATATAAAATCGTCATTGATTCCTGACAATGACACCAGTAGCCTTGAATACAATATATTAAGATTTTTTTCCTTGTCTCGACATTATCCATGTAACAAGCGTCTCCTATATGTGAATCGGTGCAGAACTAGTTAGCATACATAGCTTCTTACGTAAACCAGGAAGCCTGTCGGTTAATGAGAAAAAACAGACATCAGTTTGCTAATAAACCTGCTGGCTCGCTGTTTTAATTTGAGAGTTAGTGTATTATTTTAAACAAGACTCGTCCCTATACGCTACGAGATGGTTAAATTAGTTTTAAAATTATACAATTCTTTTTCCCCGCGTTTCCATGTCTCTACAAAACCATTACAGCCAGCGTTACGTAGATTTCATGGTCCAATAAATGCAAACGTCAAAATAAAAAACAATTGTAATGAAATATTCACCAAAATCAGTCTGGAAGAATGGAAGTTCGGTCTCACAGCACTCGCCCTCAGTACGTTCACCGTACGCACGGAAGTGGCCTGCACGTAATGCGTCATCGTACCTCAAGTTCTGATGGGAAATGGAGTTTACTTTCGGTATCAAGTCTAACGCTATAAAGATACGCGGAGTATCACTTTTGAAATTCAGTTTTTTTTTTTTGCATTTTGCGCCGTGGTACGTAGAATTAGCAACCGCCTTTAAACAGAAAAAAGATTGTTTAGTACCTAAAGAAAGTACAGAATTATTTACTTTTTCACAAATCAAACAGAATGTGGTATAGATCTTGTTTACCAAACACAGCTGTTTAATGTCAGATTCTATAACTTGTAGAATTAATGATTCAGCCAAACAGAGTACTAACACGCCACAGCTATGGTTATTTTACACTTGAGAATGGGGGCAGCATGCATGACATTTAGTGCATGACGGTCTCACATAGCCAGGTGAAATTTGACCAATCAACCAAAGTTAAAATGTTAATCTTGCATTAGGTGTTACGTTTCAAGCCTCGATTACGTTTGAGCTGGACGACACACGCTTTTAAAATGTTTTCCTAGATGTTATTTTTCTATTAAGTTATTGTGTTACTGTTGCCATTGGATGAGCATAGATGCATAATGCTAAAACACTACGTCGTCAACTTGAACTAACTGGAACTAGCCAATTACTTGGGATGACGTGACGTTTAACACATTTCCATAACATGTTATTTGCAACTAAGATTTCATATGATAAACCAAATGAATCCAAGAAATTAACCGAATAACTGCGTAATGGCGTCCAAAATGGAGGAAAAACTGCAAATATAGCTGTTCATCCTATATAATGAACGGTTTAAACCACCCCCGTGAATTCTAATAATACCTGAACATTTTGCCCGAGTTCATACTTTTATTAAACTTTAAAATACATTTACTGGTGGATTTTGTTTATCTACCCCAGCGAAAACAATGTCTCTTGTTGAAAAAATCAAATATAACCCTAAGCAACTGACCTACAATCTCACAGACTAACATATTCAGACTTCTACGGAAAATGAGAAAACCGATATTTCCTCAAAATTCATCCGTCGCATATAATAAAACGTCGTATTAGGTACGAGTTCATTGCTTTTGGAGTATGTTAATGCGCACGATCTTCTGACATTAACACATGAATATCAAGCAATGTTGTTACAAATACACGAAAGACAAGGTAACATATTTTACAGTACCGAATTATTGAAATGTTTTGATTCAGAGCCCCCTTCAGTTCCTGTTTGGTAGAATTATAAAAAATTATTTGGTCGGCGATATTAAACAAGAAGGATTCATCTCTACCTTTGTTCCGGTGTGTTTTCCGGTACATTCGGGTGAAAATCATTTTGGGATAATACCGGGACCGAATTGTAACACTTATTGTAACAAGGGGGAAATTCATCGCAACTGACCATATTGATTATTATTATTATTATTATTATTTCTATTATTATTATTAATAATAATAATAATAATAATAATAATAATTCTGATATGATAGAAGATCTCGCATCAGACGTTGCCCCAGGAAGTTCTTACCGCATGTCATATTAGAGAGAGACTGAATAGACAGTATGAAGCCTGTATGTATACAACGGCGTTACAAACAGCTAGAAGCTGGCAAGGGGACACTTTAACAGTTATATGGTGACCAATAAGCATATCCACCCACAAGCAGGCAAGCTATTCAGATATCTGTTGATAAGAGCTACCCCCATCAGAGCGTTTTTGGATGCCCAAGATTACCAGCTTGTTGTGGCTAAAGTAGTCATTCCATAAAAATGCACTTTTATTCCCAATATCTTTTAATAAGTTCAGTCAGTCCCATTTACAGTGTTGTACCTGAACAGTAAATATACCTGTTCTGTAGTTACCATGTGTCATATGCACTACTGATAGTCTTGTTTGTCATTTGGGGTTTGATGTGTTTCGTTTTTTCAGTTTAGAGATATGCATTGTTACAGCATTGTCATTTAAAGCAAAATTGCAGTCATTTTCTGTGTGTATGGTCAAACAATCAACCTTAACTCATATTCCTTTACATTAAATGGCTTTTGAATAAATACTAATATTTTTATTAGTTTTTGCTGACCCTCGCAGATTTCAAAGGGACATTTTATTTAGTCTATTGTGTTAGGGGATATCCAATATTCTTTGAAACGAAACAGAATGATTTGTTAAAGTAAACTCATAAATAGCAGCTACTTGTGAATGTTATGGGCAAAAAGCACTTTTTTTTTTCTTCCTGCAGAACACATTTGGCGATAACATTTTTGAGAAGGTGAGGAAACCTAGCATCTTGACCCATGTTTGATTGCAGAGTACAGTCAGTGGTCATTTCGTATTGATGCAAAGTATAGCTAAGTAACAAAATCATCATGCAAAGATGTGCGTCAACTTCCAGAGCTCATATAGTTAAATTACATTTTTCTCTGAATGGCCACTCCAGTACTGTAAAAAGAAACTGTCCAGTTAATGTTGTACTAGAACATATTGTTGGATGGTAAAAGGTTAGAATGATGCATGTTCCACAAGTTACTGATTCCAGAGTTTTGTCATATCATATAGAGAAGACGTGTCACATTGAGGAAGTCAGATACCAGTTAACAGCTGGCCAGATATATTTGGTCATGATATGTTTAATCTGTGCTGCTGTTTAAACCTTTATGTTAATGGGGGGAAAAGTCGTCATACTAATATTTGCATAAAGAGCTTAAAAATTCAGTTTTCAGAAATTATACTGAGGGGAAAGATACCATACAGTGTCCCCTTAAGTAAGAGATTGAAAATGAATCCGACTGCTTGGGGGAAACTCCGGGGGCTGGGAGATCTGAATGCTATTGCACCTGCTTGGCTCATGCAGAGCACATCCATGTCAGTCATGTTGGAAAAACAGCTCCAGACAGACGGAGCAGGGACACTGAAACCTAATGCTGGTCCAGCACATTCAAAATAAAAGAAATGTAAAGGGGGGACAAAATGGAAAGGGGGAGGGTACATGAATGAACAAACCGACCATAAGCAGAAAAATCAGTGTCTAACTCTCTGTTTGGGTTGGCATTCTTACTTGACGGGATGGCTATTTATAAAACAGATAAAAGGCACAACAAAAGTAACAAAAACACAGTAAAGCCAAGGTTTATCAAGAGATGCCAAGCCTTGGCAATTTTGCAGCACAATTTCGGTTTGCGAGCTTTGCCTCATTTCAGGAGACCGGCCTTGTGTGGTGAAGTCTTGGATGTGTGCCGGGTAAAAAATAATTTCTGTTTCTTTAAACCAGATGTTCTGAATTAAGGCATTGATAGCAGAATTGAATATGCCAAATGCTTTCTTGAACCATATAAGACCATAAATCTGTATTCTGTAGGAAAAATAAAATCAGGAGCTCGATGTATGAAAAATGTAAAATATGCATCACATGCCACTGTCCTCCAGTATATGTAAAAGCTAAAACAGAATGATCATTCAATTATGTCATTTGTGTTGCTTTTGAATATTCCTAAGCATGAAGTATAATTTAATTTTTTTTAAATAATTAACACAAATTCAGATTGTCCCAGGGTAGAAAATCGTTTCTGTAGCTGGTCTGTGTACATACAACATGTTACAAGGACATGGCAGTCAACAGACAATAAATAAGTGCAATATGATACAATATACTGTATATCCTATATATATATATGTATATATATATATATATATATATATATATATAACTCATATTTTGATCCATCCATCTTACAACCATTTATCTTGTACAATGCTCTAAGAGAAGTCATACATTGAATTCATAACTGCATGTGTGTTACTGCGAATTACCAGTTTTAAGCGTTCCTGACCACTGTATTGTAAAAGAGACATCAACAATCACAGCTGTCACTGAAAGAAATGTACGATTACTACTACACATATTTCACTACATGCTCCCAGCATCACGGTTAGGTGATTTTTACGTCATGGAAACAGGAAGACTAAAAATCTTTAAAAATGTTGCCTATGAAATTTGAAATTTCTTTTGTATTCTCAATCTTGGATGATAATAACAATATTTAAAAAGGTCTGTAAAATGTTTAATTCAGAGATCATCAATCCCTATCAGGAAATGCATTCAGTGTTTGTTGTGAAAAATTACAATTTACTATTTGTCATCCAGGGAACAATCGCATTGTCCTGGCCCACATTAACTTATAAGTACATTGTTTCATAATGGGGGGAAATTCATCATTTATAGCTAATTCATAGTGTCGATCTGTTTTGTGGTAGTTTGTGTTTAAAGCAGTGTTTCTCAACTCAGTCTTCGGGGACCGCTAGACAGTCCACATTTTTGTTCCCTCCCAGCTCCTAACACAGCTGCATCAGGCATTCGGTGTTCTTGATTGGTTGCTTTGTTAATCATTGTTTGGTTGAGTCATACTAGGAGCTGGGAGGGAGCAAAAGTGTGGACTGTCTGGGGGGTCCCTGAGGACTGGGTTGGGAAACCCTGTTTTAAAGGAAGGACATGTAGAATGAAGATGTTCATTGCACACTGGAACTGCCTGTTTACTATGAGTATGACAAACTCTTGAATCTTGACTCTATCTTCACGGACGTCATTAAGCTGGGGAACCCCTGCCTAATGGGAACTGTGATGCTGATGATGGTTTCATAAGTTGTGCTTTGAAAGGAAAATAAAAAAGTAAACCTACAGTGCTACCACCACCCACATCCACCAGTGCACTTGGCAGGCATCATTCAAGGTCAATAGGAAAGACGTGCCAGTCACCTATATGATCCTTCATCCAGAAGCAGCTCTGTCACTAAGACTGGGTTTGTCCTAGCAAGTGTTAACAAGCCTGTGTATAGGTAGCAAAATATGTTAAATATGCAACGACTAGTATGTAGTCATACTGCCAGTAACAGATATATTTTTTGTTGTTTCTGGCTTGTACTGCACGCAATGGAGGATTTTACAGTTAGATTCTTCTAGTCATAGCTTAGGCTACAACAGAGGACTGGTCGAGAACCATAAGGATCTACATTGAAAATTACAATTTTATTTATTTAACAGATTCTTTTTCCCAAAGCAACATGCATGTTTTTGAGAGCAGGGCCAGGTGGTTCCTGGAGCAGTTGGAAGTCCAGGGTCTCATTCATAGGCCCAGTGATGAAAGCACTTTGCTAAGGGCAGGATTCAAACCAGTGACTTTCTGATCATCACAGACACAACGATCTGAGGCACAGAGCCACACAACAGCCCCAACTATGGCTCATGTTTTATTGTTACATATGTTTCGGAACACATTGGTACTGTAGTTGGGGGGGGGGGCAAAACAGTAACGCAATACAAGACAAAGGACTCCAATGCCCAGGTAAGAGCGATGTTAAACTGTCCCTAGGAACTGACCCTGAAATATAACAGGGCGGGAAGTAACCAATCATATACAACAAATGGGCCAAATTCCATTTTACTGAACTGCACTGTGCAGAGCTTGTTCTCACAACATAGTGAAATGCTGTGGTGTCTCTCAAGAGCAACCTCCAGGCCAGACAGAGAACAGAGCCAGAGGCAAAATGGACAGGTACTGAAAAGGCTTTATTAACCTGAGGGGAGGGCAGTGCTTGTGATTTCTCTTCAGTAGAGAATCTCTTTCTCTCCCGTCACCCAGTGTGGGGATTGATTTCAGACGTGCAAGGACTCCAAGAATCTTTTTACAGGCGGCTCTGTTTATATGAATAAGACGAAAAGTGACAAAAACCAAATCATGGCCTGCGACAATTCTTACTGCAGGACGGCGAATGCTGCCATTACTGGGGGCACCTGATCACATTTAAATAGTCCTAAAGGAAGATAATATGGGCTAAAAGAGTGCCGAATAACCCCAGAACGTAGATTAGGTAGCTCATAAACTTTGTTTGCAGATACACTCCAAATAAAAAGAGAACTTAGTCTTTATATTTGACCAGTGGCTTAATCCTTAGGGAGTCAATCAATTCCTGCTTTATCAGGAGTTACATTAATTTGTAATATTTGGTTTATGGTTCCCAACCATACTGTGCTAATATTTGTTTCTCACACCTCATGGGTGCCGTTAGGTCCGATCACTTGCGGTTATAGCCCTCAGTATTTTAAGCCCAGCCCTGAGCTTTTTTAGCCCAGATGCCAATCTTCCTTCCTTAAAAAAAGTCAAGCCCTGGGTAAACTTCACTTAAGCCCCTGATATTTCAATAGCTACAAACCCCCCTAAAACACCCTAATATATTTCAAAACATAGGCTTACAATTTTGAGTGAAACTGTAATTCTTGTGAAAAAAAAAAACTATAAAATTATTGGTCACACTTGACGCAATATTGTCTATAACCAGCTAATTAAATTTATTTTCCAACATGATCAAGTTGGTAAATATATACATTTTTCGTACATTGTTTGATTATTTCTTTAACGTAAAATAAGATCATTTATTTTTTATGTTGCGATAGTCAGTGAAATACAATCTTTCTAGACTTATTTACTGGTTATGCGAGAACTTATAAGACTAATCAATAATAAAGACAGTTTAAGATACGTTTTTAAAATAATTGATCGCCTGCGATAATCCACAGCGGATATACCGCACCCTCCCGTGCAGTCGCCACGGCGCCCAGTTGGTCAGTTCCCCCCCCGCCGGGTCACATTTTAACCCAAGTCTCCAGTATCATCCTGTCCAGAAACTTTCCGAATTCGCCACGCCTGAACATGGACGAGTAGATGATGTGAGTACATCACGAAGCAGGGGAAGCAAGCACGCCTCCAGCTTGGGGGGCCGGTGATAAGAGAAGCAACGAGCAGCTGAGATATACAACATGTTTGGGGTTCGATCACGAACTGATAAGGTCTGTCCCTTTCTGCAGCGTAGCGGGATACACGACAGAAATATGCTCCCATTTATACCTGAACGACTGAATACATCAGGATCTATCGTCTGTAAAATTATACTTGCAACGAAATACATCTTCCTGCTGAATAATCGTGCTCCTGTTTTGAAAGTGGGGGAAAATATCCCGACGGCAGGCTTATTTATCACCCGAACGGTACGGCCAAGATTCTAGGCCAGGCGGCCATCGAACGCTAATCGGACCAGGCCCTCATTCCATTCCAAATAAAGCGTCACAATGCTCAGGGGCCGCGTTTCCCCTCCTCCCACTGACAGCCGACAGCCAACATCAAAGCGTTCGGCCTTAGCGGACACCGAGAAACTCCACAAACCCGTCCTCCCTCTTCCCGACTCTCCGGATGTTTTGTAACAGAGTTATCTTAGACCTCCTTAGTCAAAGCAGTCGTTCACGCCTGGCGGGGGTGGTGGGGGTAGGGGACCGCCCATAGATTAAAGCTCCGCTGCTAAACTCAATCAATAAGAATTTAAAAGTTTTTCGAGTCATTGGAGCTCCTCCTATTCTGTGCCGGATGGCTTCACATAGGATTTGCCGACGTTCGGGAATTCCGCCTTTCACTCCTTTTTTAGCACGGCAAAGGTATTGGCAGCCGGCCAAAGGACCGCCCCCTTTTCTTAATTTGGCCACACAAAGGATTTGACAACACGTCGAGCGGCCGCCCACTTTACCAAATACGGTCACGCTGCCCATACTCGGCGAACAATCGACCAAAGTGTATCCTTTTCTCTTCCTTATCCCGTTTATATGGTACGGTGACTGGCTGTACAGCTAAAGCAGTGCGATCATGGCGGAGCGCGTTCAGCAACCCCCAGCTAAACGGCTCTGCTGCCGACCCGGCTATAATCCGGCGTGCAGACAGGGACAGAGGGCTGGTGGAGCCTTATGTGGCGGTCAGGGTACTGCCCAAGGGGGGTCTGGCAAAACTCAGAGCCCGGAGTCCCTGCTGGACATCGCTGCGAGGAAAGTAGCAGAGAAGTGGCCGTTTCAGAGGGTGGAGGAGCGCTTTGAAAGGATTCCGGAGCCCGTCCAGAGGAGGATCGTGTACTGGTCATTCCCCAGGAGCGAACGGGAGATCTGCATGTATTCGTCCTTCAACACGGGCGGGGAGGAGAGTGGAGCTGCCGGGGAAAACAGCGACGAGACTCGGTTGCCTTTCCGACGGGGTATCGCTTTGCTTGAAAGTGGCTGCGTAGACAACGTACTGCAAGTCGGTGAGTAGTCGTGCATGGGGGGAGGAAAAGTGCTTTATTTATTCGCGTTCATTTCAGAAGGCTTATCTTTAGGAGAAAACGATAATGAAACGTCTAATAAAACAATAACTGGATTCCTGCCAGATTAAAAACTGTAATGCATTGTGTAAAAAATGGAGGGGGGGACAAGATGGAAATCAAGAGCTGGCTGGCTATTTTGCTTTGGACAAAGGAAGGAATGCAGCTAGCTAGCTATCGCAGAGACATATGACGGGGCTTTGCATGCAATCAGCATGAACACAATACATTTCACTTTGCCCAGCTAGGTAAAGGCAATCGTTGTCCCCCCTCATAACACATCGAAGAGAATATATAGAAATTTTCTGTTTTTTGTGCTCCATTCGGCCAATAATATTTTCAGCATATTAGCTACCTTGTTAGCGGAATGGAAAAAATAATTACGGAAGTGAATTAGTGATTCAGTGGGTTTGAAGGTCTCGCTGTTATAAGGTTTGCTGGGCGATGCGATTTTATAGTCGCGTGGTTATTTTTGATCTACTTTATCGGTGAATCGATTGTCTCGAAAGATGCTTCCCTTTTTTTTAGTGTTTGCATGGGAAGCTATGAAAAGAAAGGCAGGACTGGCCCTTCTCGCTCGTCTGTCTATTCTGTTTATCTTTTTTTTCACCGTGGGACTGAAAGGCACCGTGGTGGGGGAGGTTATTTGGCGTAGCAATCTAAACAAGGTTTATCGTCTTTTTCTAAGGCAACGTGTTGTCTGAAAATACAAATGTCACTCGCTAGCAGGTGGAGAGGAACAGGACGCACTTGTTTAGACGTCGACGAACCTAATCGTTTTATTATAATTTTAAAGACCGATGCTGCTATTTATTTTCCCTGGGAGCAGCAACCACAGTCTTTTTAAGCTTGTATTTGCCGAGTGCGCATATCAAATAGCCGTCAGGCATCCCCATTGAAAGCTTGGCACTTTGTTCCCATTTTCATGTTCATTTGTGTCTTTTCAGCTTCCTGTCACCATCCAAAAGGAAGGCGTACAAAAGCGCCTTTTTATTTCTTTTCACTGCTTGTTAAATAGAAGATATTTGGAGAGGGGTGGGAGGGACGGCGGTTTAAAGCTGCAGGGCTTCTATTTTGTTGACGGACATCGGCAATTTGCAGCAAATCGGTTCTGCTCCGCTTTCGTCCCGTTCACACCGGGCAGATTTTTTCGCTCCGCATCGTAAATCAAGCCGCCCGAAAAACGTTGTCATTTCTAAGGGATTAAAACGACTGGGGGAAAAGGCAATACACACCGAAGAGGTGTGAGAGTGTCAGCACGTCCTCGGCTATCCGTTGTCCAGCCCTATTATCTCAGGGATCTGAATTTGCGCCCAGGTTCGAGGGTCAGCCACCTATTGTTGTTTTTTTTTTTGCATTCGTTAAAGCAATTAGTCTCAGAGACCTGTGATTTTTTTTGATGGGGGTGGAGGGGGTTCAGCATCCTTTGAAAGGGTTCTGGATTTTAATCTCATTAGGTTTTGTGGTTAATTTAAATTCCAGTGCAATCTGTAAATGTCCTTTAGAGTGTTATCTTTCTTTTTTAAAAAGAAAATTGTGGCTCGATTCCTGCTTGCAGTACAACCGACGTGCCTTTGTTTGGTTTGCCGTGCATATGATTAAGTCCTTTTTGCATTTTGTGTGGTTTTCTGACACTGAGAGGCTCTGCTCTCTGCCCGTTCCCTAGTTGTATGCAACAGACTAGAATTAGCTTTGGTTTTGTTTGCTCAGATGAACCCTTTCTCCTTTTTGTGTGTGCGTGCGCACGCCGGTGTGTGTGTGTGTGTCTCATTCTGCATGCTTGCAATGAGGAATGACAGGAGCACACTCAGGGAGGGGTTCTTGGCTGATTGCATTTCAGCCTGGAATTCACTGGAAAAAAATAAAGCCAAGCGGTGATAAATAAAAGATGCAATCTACTCGGGGAAGGCCAGCAGTGAAGGGGTTCAGTTAGTGGTTGTTTTGAAGAGGGGCTGACTGGGGGACAGGGGTAGAGTGAGTCGGGGCAAATGTGTTGCATTGTAGCTGCACTGAACAGGAAAAGGGATTTGTCTTAGTGTGTTTGTGTGTAGCAGGGGGTGGGAATGAAAGAAGGGAATTGGCAACGGAAGCTGCGTGTGGGAAAACCAAATACACTTGAGCGAATTCGGCCTCGCTCAACCCTGCTGTTGTCCCCGGTGGACAGCCATAAAACTCGATATTTACTACCCCACAGCCAGCACGGGGAACTTCCCCTGGTCTTCATTTTTAATAATGATTTTTTTTGTGGGGGAAATTAATATTTGGTGTCTTAACAGTGTCATTTGGGAAGACCCCAGAGAATCTGGAACTCTATGTAAGGAGACGCCAGATGTTTTTCTGACAAATACAGGCATACTCATTTATTTGTGGGCTGTGGTCCTTACTCAGTGTTTAAGAGATTCCAGAGTGCTTCATGGCAGACATGGAAAAGTTGGCAGCCTGTTTGGTGGTGGTGGGGGGGGGGGGGGGGGGGGGG